GTAATCTTTGCAATGCCTCATGGGAAATGTAGTTCCAGAACAGCTAGAAAGCCACAGGTTGCCTACCCCTGGCTTAGGCAATCGCAGCGGAAGTGGGAGCGGGTACCTGCCAACTTCGGGTACCAACTCCCCAAAGGTGCCAACCCTTAATGGGGAGAGGGGAACAAAGGCTTAAAGTGGAACTTTCCCTTTTGGGTGGAGCTCCGCTTAAGGAAGAGAAGCGGGGTCTGGTGGACAGCACTGTTTTAATAAAGTTTATTGTAAAATAACTTTCACTTTCGCATTGTGTACTCAGGACTTGGGGTGTAGTCTTGGCCCCTGCAGCTGGCGGAGGGGTTTTAGGTCGGCCTTAAGCAGTAGCTAGTCTACTGCATCACCAAAAATCTTCCTATGAGATTATATGGGAATAGCATTTATTTTATGTTATTTACTTGTAAAACCTCCCTCATTCCAACATCAAAAAGCCCTGAGACTGCTGCTGGGTGCCGCCATCTTGCATGTGATTTCAGCACCCACAGCAGACTCAGAGCGGACACTCAAGTGACACTCTATAGCAGGGGTTACCAAACTTTCTAAATAAAGGTCCAGTTTACTGACCTTCACACTTTAGAGGGGCCGGACTATGGCCAGTGAGAGTAGAAAATGTCCTGATGTCAGTGAAGTGAACAATGCCCTATTGTAAGTATTGGAAAAATAGTGTCCCATCGTTGGTGTCAGTGGGAGGAATAGATAGCGCCCCACCGTTGGGGTCAGTGGGAGGAATAGATAGGGCCCCACCGTTGGGGTCCGTGGGAGGAATAGATAGCGCCCCACCGTTGGGGTCAGTGGGAGGAATAGATAGCGCCCCACCGTTGGGGTCAGTGGGAGGAATAGATAGCGCCCCACCGTTGGGGTCGCCCCAGTGGGAGGAATAGATAGCGCCCCACCGTTGGGGTCAGTGGGAGGAATAGATAGCGCCCCACCGTTGGGGTCAGTGGGAGGAATAGATAGCGCCCCACGTTGGGGTCCGTGGGAGGAATAGATAGCGCCCCACCGTTGGGGTCCGTGGGAGGAATAGATAGCGCCCCACCGTTGGGGTCCGTGGGAGGAAATAGATAGCGCCCCACCGTTGGGGTCAGTGGGAGGAATAGATAGCGCCCCACCGTTGGGGTCAGTGGGAGGAATAGATAGCGCCCCCATCGTTGGGGTCAGCGGGAGGAATAGATAGCGCCCCACCGTTGGGGTCAGCGGGAGGAATAGATAGCGCCCCACCGTTGGGGTCAGGAATAGGGAGGGGGTCAATAGATAGCGCCCCACCGTTGGGGTCAGCGGGAGGAATAGATAGCGCCCCACCGTTGGGGTCAGGAGGAATAGATAGCGCCCCATCGTTGGGGTCAGCGGGAGGAATAGATAGCGCCCCATCGTTGGGGTCAGCGGGAGGAATAGGCGCCCCATCGTTGGGGTCAGCGGGAGGAATAGATAGCGCCCCATCGTTGGGGTCAGCGGGAGGAATAGATAGCGCCCCATCGTTGGGGTCAGTGGGATCGGGGGTCATAGATAGCGCCCCATCGTTGGGGTCAGTGGGAGGAAGAGAGCCCCATCGTTGGGGTCAGTGGGAGGAAGAGAGCCCCATCGTTGGGGTCAAGTGGGAGAATAGATAGCGCCCCATCGTTGGGGTCAGTGGGAGGAAGAGAGCCCCATCGTTGGGGTCAGTGGGTGGAAGGAGCATCGTTGATGCACCCCTAGGGTTCACACCGGGTTAATGATGTCACTGCACAGGTGGGAGTACTGCATGCTAGTAGAAGGTCACACGCTCCATACCCAGGTAAGTTACAGCGGGTCCAACACAGCAATGGATCGGCAAAGCAGAATGTGAGTATAAGTGGGCCAGGCTGGGAAGGGATCCTTCCTCTTAACCACCTCCCGTCCGGCCGTTGTATATAAACGGCCTGACGGTGGCAGTGCAGGGTCGGGTGGCCGTTTATAAACTGTCTCCCCGCCCCCTGCTTGTGCGCCCTCCCTGTGATCCGGTGCCCATTGTGTCCATCGGACACAGTGGAACACCGATCGTCGTACGGGACCTCTGTGCGAGGTCCCGATCATGTGATCACTGATTGGCCAATCAGTGATCACATGCAGAGTTGTAAGCAAGATGTCACTTCTGACATCATTGCTTATTACGTGTGAAATCTGTGAATGATCACAGAGATCACATGGTACAGGGCTATTCACAACAGCCTTGTACCATGTGACAAGCTGTGACCAATCACAGCTCACACAGTAGTTCTCAATGAATGCAGCCAGAGAGAAAGAGAAATGATTGCTTTTACAGCCTTTATGGGTGTAAAAGCAATCAGTGTAAAAAAAAATATATATATAATCATTCCCCCACACAAGTAGTACAGTGTCACCATGGTGACACTGTACTGCTAGGGTGACAGTATGTAAAAAAAAAAAAAAAAAAAAAAAAAAAAAAAAAAAAACAAATAATATAAAAAATAAAAAACCGTAAAAAAAAGTTTAAAAATTATTATTTTTGGTTATAAAACTAATTTGGGTTATTTTTTTTTTTAATTAGAAAGATAACGGAATACATTTTGGCCAAGATTTATGATGAAATATTTTTTATTTGCAAAATTTTATAAGAAAAAACACTTTTTTCAAAATTTTTCGACATTTTCATTTACATAGCAAAAAAAATAAAAATCCCAGTGGTGAATAAATACCACCAAAATAAAGCTTTATCTGTCTCAAAAAAATGCTAAAAAATTAATATGGGTACAGTGTTGCATGACCGCGCAATTGTCATTCAGAGTGTGATAGCGCTGCTGAAAGCTGAAAATTGGCCTGGACAGGAAGGGGGGGAAAGTGTCCGGACTGGAAGGGGGGGGGGGGGGGAGTGTCCTGGACTGGAAGGGGGGGGGGTGTCCTGACTGTCGGGGGGGAGTGTCCTGACTGGAAGGGGGGGGGAAGTGTCCTGACTGGAAGGGGGGGGGGGGGTCCTGACTGGAAGGGGGGGGGGGGGGAAGTGTCCTGACTGGAAGGGGGGGGGGGGGGGGAAGTGTCCTGGACTGGAAGGGGGGGGGGGGGGGGGAAGTGTCCGACTGGAAAGGGGGGGGGGGGAAGTGTCCGGACTGGAAGGGGGGGGAAGTGTCCGGACTGGAAGGGGGGGGGAAGTGTCCGGACTGGAAGGGGGGGGGGAAGTGTCCGGACTGGAAGGGGGGGGGAAGTGTCCGGACTGGAAGGGGGGGGAAGTGTCCGGACTGGAAGGGGGGGGAAAGTGTCCAGACTGGAAGGGGGGGAAAGTGTCCAGACTGGAAGGGGGGGAAAGTGTCCAGACTGGAAGGGGGGGAAAGTGTCCAGGACTGGAAGGGGGGGAAAGTGTCCAGACTGGAAGGGGGGGAAAGTGTCCAGACTGGAAGGGGGGGAAAGTGTCCAGACTGGAAGGGGGGGAAAGTGTCCAGACTGGAAGGGGGGGAAAGTGTCCAGACTGGAAGGGGGGGGAAAGTGTCCCCGACTGGAAGGGGGGGAAAGTGTCCGGACTGGAAGGGGGGGAAAGTGTCCGGACTGGAAGGGGGGGGGGAAAGTGTCCCGGACTGGAAGGGGGGAAGTGTCCGGACTGGAAGGGGGGGAAGTGTCCGGACTGGAAGGGGGGAAGAAGTGTCCGGACTGGAAGGAGGGGGAAAGTGTCCGGACTGGAAGGGGGGGAAAGTGTCCGGACTGGAAGGGGGGGGAAAAGTGTCCGGAAAGCGTCCGGACTGGAAGGGGGGGGGAAGCGTCCGGACTGGAAGGGGGGGAAAGTGTCCGGACTGGAAAAAGCGTCCGGACTGGAAGGGGGGGAAAGCGTCCGGACTGGAAGTGGTTTAAAGGGCTTAGCTTGCAAAGCTAGTAAGCACGCAGCCATGAAGTGGTTAAAGAATGAAATGAAGTCTTCCTACTAAAGTGATGTCAGCAGAGGAGTTCACAGACTAGGTTTGGCGAGGAGATAAATTGGATATTCCCTGGTGTGGGATGCATCAGTGCCGGAGCTGGATCCTGAATCTCACTGAAAGCATTTAAGGAGCCTGATTTACCATCCTCCCTAATCAAGAGGGAAAGGGGAAGAGCTGCAAAAGTCTCATTCCTCCTCTGTCACTACATGAATCTATAAGCCACCCCTGCGTTCTATATTAAGCCCAATCCAACTCTCAATTGCAATCCGCCAAATGCAGTCCAGGTGCCTTAAACCCCCCAACAGTACAATCAGTCTGTATACGCAGTGAAGCATGCTTGTTATACTCACTGTGGAACCTAAGAGGTTAAGCCTCTGCATTGTTTAAAAAGACTGATCCTGATGGGGGGGGGTGAGAGAGAGATGGGGGGGTGAGAGAGAGAGAGATACGGGGGGGGTGAGAGAGATGGGAGGTGAGAGAAAAAAAGATGGGGGGTGAGAGAAAGAGAGAGATGGGGGGGTGAGAGAAAGAAAGAGATGGGGGGTGAGAGAAAGAGAGAGATGGGGGCGAGTGAGTGGGGGTTAAGAGTGAAAGAGAGGGGGAGGGGGGGGGAGAGAGAGAGAGATGGGGGGTGTGAGAGTGATGGGGGGTGAGTGAAAGAGAGGATGGGGGGTGAGAGAGAGAGAGAGAGATGGGGGGTGAGAGAGAGATGGGGGGTGAAAGAGAGGGGGGGGTGAGAGAGGTGGGGGGTGAGAGAGATGGGGGGTGAGAGAGATGGGGGGTGAGAGAGATGGGGGGTGAGAGAGAGAGAGATGGGGGTGAGAGATTAGCTTCTTCCCTGGCCAAAGAGGTTGCCTTCATTTTCTTTTTTTTAGGCTTTCTTTCCTTTAATTTCACCAGGTGATCTGGCCAATAAGTCTGTTGTTGTCCACAGAACAAGCTCTCCTGCAGATGTAGCAGATAGAGGGTTGAGACAAACCATTTACTACTGACAGGTGTGCTTAAAATGATCAGCTTTTATTTACGTAAAGCTTTTTATTCCAAAAGGAACAACACTGTCTGCTGTGACTGATGAGCTGGAGTTTGGCTTCAATGTGTTGGTGTATTTAAATCTGCTAGTTCATCTAACACTCCCCTCCCCCCAACACTGACAATGCTCCTGTCTGTTGTGCTCCCAATGCTCCTACATCCAGGGTGGGGGCCTAAAAAAAAAAAAAAAAAAAAAACTAATGCAGCCACCACATTGAATGATTGGCTTGCTGCAATTTATTACATTTTTGATTGTGGGTTAAATACGGCTTTAATGTGCTCACGGGCATAATCGAGCCACAAATTACAAGAAAAAAATAAAAAATACACACTGGTATGTACTCACGTTTTTTTCTGTGGTCAACTAAACCATGGCTTGTTTGGCTGAACATTTGGCAAACCAGTTGTCCCCGAGCAAAACAGTGACTTCGTTGGTTTGGACGAGGCGACCGGGCATAAAAGCTAGCGGGGCCGAAGGGTACCTAAGAAAGAAAGAACAGTACATTGCAAGCTGGAGGGGTCCAAGTGACAGCAGAAAGGCAAAAGGAACCAAGAAACTATTTCACTGACACCGAAGTCTGGGCACAAAAAACTTTCATATCATTACAATGTTCAGTAGCAATGCTGTGGGTAAGGCCCAGCAGGTTCTGCACCAATGGCTTCCTGCAGAAAGCTCCAGACGAGCAGTGTTGTGGGTCCTCCTATGGTTCCTTACAGCAGGAGTCTTCAAACTTTCCAAACAAAGGGCCGGTTTACTGTCCCTCAGACCTGGAAGGGGCCAGACTGTAGAAAGTGGGAGTAGAAAATGCCCTGGGAGTAAACAATGCTACATCATTGGTGTCAGTGGGAGGAATAATGCCCCATCGTTGGTATCAGTGGGAGGAATAATGCCCCATCATTGGTGTCAGTGGGAGGAATAGTGCCCCATCATTGGTGTCAGTGGGAGGAATAGTGCCCCATCGTTGGTGTCAGTGGGAGGAATAGTGCCCCATCGTTGGTGTCAGTGGGAGGAATAGTGCCCATCGTTGGTGTCAGTGGGAGGAATAGTGCTCCATCATTGGTGTCAGTGGGAGGAATAGTGCCCCATCGTTGGTGTCAGTGGGAGGAATAGTGCCCCATCATTGGTGTCACAACGGGAGGAATAGTGCCCCATCATTTGGTGTCAGTGGGAGGAATAGTGCCCCATCATTGGTGTCAGTGGGAGGAATAGTGCCCCATCATTGGTGTCAGTGGGAGGTATAGTGCCCATCATTGGTGTCAATTGGAGGAATAGTGCCCCATCATTGGTGTCAGTGGGAGGAATAGTGCCCATCATTGGTGTCAGTGGGAGGAATAGTGCTCCATCGTTGGTGTCAGTGGGAGGAATAGTGCCCCATCATTGGTGTCAGTGGGAGGAATAGTGCCCCATCATTGGTGTCAGTGGGAGGATAGTGCCCATTGTTGGTGTCAACGGGAGGATAGTGCCCATCATTTGGTGTCAACGGGAGGAATAGTGCCCATTGTTGGTGTCAGTGGGAGGAATAGTGCCCCATTGTTGGTGTCAGTGGGAGGAATAGTGCTCCATTGTTGGTGTCAGTGGGAGGAATAGTGCTCCATCGTTGGTGTCAGTGGGAGGAATAGTGCCCCATTGTTGGTGTCAGTGGGAGTAATAGTGCCCCATCATTGGTGTAATTGGAGGATAGTGCCCCATCATTGGTGTCAACGGGAGGCATAGTGCCCATCATTGGTGTCAGTGGGAGGAATAGTGCCCCATCATTGGTGTCAGTGGGAGGAATAGTGCCCCATCATTGGTGTCAGTGGGAGGAATAGTGCCCCATCATTGGTGTCAGTGGGAGGAATAGAGCCCATCATTGGTGTCAGTGGGAGGAATAGTGCCCCATCATTGGTGTCAGTGGGGGGAATAGTGTCCCATCATTGGTGTCAGTGGGAGGAATAGTGCCCCATCATTGGTATCAGTGGAAGGGAATAGTGTCCCATCTGGTGTGTCAATGTTAGGAATAGTGCCCATATTGTTGGTGTCAATGGGAGGAATAGTGCGCCCCCACCCCCGTCATTGCTGTCAATGGGAGGAACAGTGCCCACATTGTTGGTGTTAATCAGAGGAAATAGTGCCCCATCATTGGTGTCAGTGGGCCCCATCATTGGTGTGTCAGGGGGGAATAGTGTCCCATCATTGGTGTCAGTGGGAGGAATAGTGCCCCATCATTGGTGGTCAGTGGGAAGGAATAGTGCCCCATCATTGGTGTCAGTGGGAAGGAATAGTGCCCCATCATTGGTCTCAGTGGGGAAGAATAGTGCCCCATCATTGGTGTCAGTGGGGAGGATTAGTGCCCCATCATTGGTGTCAGTGGAAGGAATAGTGCCCCATCATTGGTCGTCAATGGAAGGAATAGTGCCCCATCGTTGGTGTCAGTGGGAGGAATAGTGCCTCATCACTGGTGTTAATGGAGGAATAGTGCCCCATTGTTGGTGTCAGTGGGAGGAATAGTGCCCCATCATTGGTGTCAGTGGAAGGAGTAGTGCCCCATCATTGGTGTCAGTGAAGGAGTAGTGCCCATCATTGGTGTCAGTGAAAGGAGTAGTGCCCCATCATTGGTATCAGTGCAAGGAACAGTGCCCATTGTTGGTGTCATTGGGGGAGAATAGTGCCCCATCATTGGTGTCAGTGGGAGGAACAGTGCCTCATTGTTGGTGTCAATGGGAGGAATAGTAAATCATCAATGGTATTAATTGAAGGAATAGTGCCCCATCATTGTCGTCAATGGAAGGAATAGTGCCCCATTGTTGGTGTCAGTGGAAGGAATAGTGGCCCATTGTTGGTGTCAGTGGGGGAGAATAGTGCTTCAAGGGCCTGATAAAGGCAAAGGGTGGCATCCGACTCCGGGCCACAGCGTGGAGACCACTGTCCTACAAGACTCAATGATAGTTGGGAGGACCTACAGCACCCACCTGGCAGGGGAGGGTAGGGGGGGAAGCAAAAAACATGGAATGGTAAAATAGCAGCAGTATTATCTCTGCAAGAAAGGAAATAGACTTTCGGCCTGCTAAAAGAGGTTAAAAAAAAAATCACCCTCTTCTATGAAAGGGTGGGTGCAGCGGCCCGGTTCATCTCTCCCACAGTCCTGCTCCCTGCACAGGCTATGTATAGCACAGCGATGATGTCACTGTTTCTTTTACAAGGCAAGATCTGGAATTGTAAAGGGATTAGGTGCCCACAAAGTGGATTTATATCCTTTGTGGCTGTTGAGGAATATTGCTTAAAGGGTAACTCCACTTCTATTGAGAGAAACCCATTCCCCTCTGGGTGATCTCTGTACATTGCAGGGATTTTACCAAACTTTGTTGCAGATTCCTACCTTTTGTCATTCTGAAGCAATATCTGTCTGTGTCTATGTGCAAAATGAATGTGAATGGGATTGATTTCATAATTATCCAATCAGCTGTTGCACTTGCAGGGTTCGAATGAGGAAAGTGGCAGGGTCTGCACCCCTTTAGACGTGATTTCCCTTTGGGAGTAACTAACCAAAAAAAAAAAAAAAAAGGCATTTTTTTGTCACAGGAGATGGCCAAAATCTGACTTGTTTCTTAGTGCAGACTTCTGGGAAAGTCAGTGACCAATCACAGAAGCAGGAAATGCCATTTCTGGGGGGGGTCCTGTGCACCATCTGTATACAGAACGTCTCCAGGCTGCCATATCGCATTTAACAGAAACTGACAACGCTGCAGATTGAAAAGGAAAGGTTAATAACATGCAAATTACGTCACAATTGTATATGCTATAATTTTTTTTATTTGCCATTTTTTCCCATGAAAGCGGAGTTAACCTTTTAAGGCCAGTTCACACTCCATGCGTTTCAGTTGCTTTTTTTCAGCATCCAAAAACGCACAGAAAGTAGGTGATTTGGTTGTCAATGTCATAGTTCACATCAGTGCTTGCAGTTCCAGTGCGTTCCGGATGCAGGAAAAAAAAAAAAAAAAAAAAAAAAAGTAGAACAGGCTGCATTTTAACTGCACACAACTGTACTGGAACGCGGTTAAAACGCATCAAAAACGCATCGGAACGCACATGTCCCTATCTCACCACTTCCCGTCCAGCCGTCAGTGGGTGGAAGAGAGCCCCATTGTTGGGGTCAGTGGGTGGAAGAGAGCCCCATTGTTGGGGTCAGTGGGTGGAAGAGAGCCCCATCGTTGGGGTCAGTGGGAGGAATAGTGCCCCATCGTTGATGCCACCCTAGGAGCGGGTCACACCGGGTTGATGATGTCACTGCACAGGTGGGAGTACTGCATGCTAGTAGAAGGTCACACGCTCCATACCCAGGTAAGTTACAGCGGGTCCAACACAGCAATGGATCGGCAAAGCAGAATGTGAGTATAAGTGGGCCAGGCTGGAGAAGGGATCCTTCCTCTTAACCACCTCCCGTCCGGCCGTTGTACATAAAAAAGCCGGATGGTGGCAGAAGCAGGGTCGGGTGGCCGTTTATATAACGGCCTCCCAGCCCCCTGCTTGTGCGCACTTCCCTGGGAGCGCGCAGCACTGCAATCCGGTGCCCACTGTTTCCTCCGGACACAGTGGAACACACAATCGTCGTACGGGACCTCTCTGCGAGGTCCCGATCATGTGATCACTGATTGGCCAATTCGGTGATCACATGCAGAGTAGTAAGCAAAATGTCACTTCTGACATCATTGCTTACTACATGTGAAATCTGTGAATGATCACAGAGGTCACATGGTACAGGGCTATTCACAACAGCCTTGTACCATGTGACAAGCTGTGACCAATCACAGCTCACACAGTATTTCTCAATGGCTGCAAGAATGCAGACAGAGAGAAAGAGAAAATGATTGCTTTTACAGCCTTTGTGTAAAAGCAATCAGTGTAAAAAAAAAAAAATCTTCATCACCCCCCACAAGTAGTACAGTGTCACCATGGTGACACTGTACTGTAGGGTGACAGTATTTTTAAAAAAATAAAAAAAACATAAATAATAATAAAAAAAAAAAAAATGTACAAAAAAAAGTGTTTAAAAATTATAATTTTTGGTTATAAACTAATTTGGGTTTTTTTTTTTACTAAAAAGATAAACGGAATACATTTTGGCCAAGATTTATGAAGAAATATTATTTATTTGCAAAATTTTTACGAAAAACACTTTTTGGACATTTTCATTTACATAGCAAAAAAAAATAAAAATCCCAGTGGTGAATAAATACCACCAAAAATAAAGTTTTATCTGTCTCAAAAAAATGCTAAAAAAATTCATATGGGTACAGCGTTGCATGACCGCGCAATTGTCATTCAAAGTGTGATAGCGCTGAAAGCTGAAAATTGGCCTGGGCAGGAAGGGGTGGGAAAGTGTCCGACTGGAAGGGGGGGAAAGTGTCCGGACTGGAAGGGGGGGAAAGTGTCCCGTACTGGAAGGGGGGGGGGGGGAAAGTGTCCGGACTGGAAGGGGGGGAAAGTGTCCCGGGAAAGGGGGGGAAAGTGTCCCGACTGGAAGGGGGGGAAAGTGTCCCCGACTGGAAGGGGGGGAAAGTGTCCCGACTGGAAGGGGGGGAAAGTGTCCCGACTGGAAGGGGGGGAAAGTGTCCCGGACTGGAAGGGGGGGAAAGTGTCCCGACTGGAAGGGGGGGAAATTGTCCCGACTGGAAAGGGGGGAAAGTGTCCCGACTGGAAGGGGGGAAAGTGTCCCGACTGGAAGGGGGGGAAAGTGTCCCGACTGGAAGGGGGGGAAAGTGTCCGGACTGGAAGGGGGGGGGGAAAGTGTCCCGGACTGGAAGGGGGGGAAAGTGTCCGACTGGAAGGGGGGGAAAGTGTCCCGACTGGAAGGGGGGGGAAAGTGTCCCGACTGGAAGGGGGGGAAAGTGTCCCGGACTGGAAGGGGGGGAAATGTGTCCGGACTGGAAGGGGGGGAAAGTGTCCGGGACTGGAAGGGGGTGAAAGTGTCTGGACTGGAAGGGGGGGAAAGTGTCTGGACTGGAAGGGGGGGAAAGTGTCTGGACTGGAAGGGGGGGGGTGTCCGGACTGGAAGGGGGGGAAAGTGTCCGGACTGGAAGGGGGGGAAAGTGTCCGGACTGGAAGTGGTTAAATTGAAGAAAAAGAGATGGGGAAAACATGAACTGGAACGCATCAAAAATGCACTGAAAAGCACTTGTCTCTACTTAAATTGAAAGAAAAAAGAGAGGGAAAAAATGAACTGGAACGCATCAAAAACATGCATGCAGACATACATCCGGACTGTGTTTCTATAGTACCGGCTACTAAAAGAACTTTTAGGTTCAGCTTTAAAATGTGACCGCTCTCTATTCAGAGCCCAGAGAGGAAACAGAAGAATACCTACCATGATATCATAGGACAGCCTATCGGGCAAAGACCCGAGTCTCTCCTGGAGGGCGTCATAGTCACTTTCTACCTTCTTCCTGGAGGAAACAGACACTTCAATTAGCAAATACAGAAAAATCACAAAGCAGCCATTCCTGCAAGAAATACACGGCGGCAAACAAGAACGATAAAACATTTTTTTTATCAAAAACTGCGTGCTTGTGCCATAGATAGGTGATGTAGACTGATCCAGGTTCTGTAGACTGATCCCGCTGCTGTAGACCCATCCCGCTGCTGTAGACCCATCCCGCTGCTGTAGACCCATCCCGCTGCTGTAGACCCATCCCGCTGCTGTAGACCCATCCCGCTGCTGTAGACTCCATCCCGCTGCTGTAGACCCATCCCGCTGCTGTAGACTCATCCCGCTGCTGTAGACCCATCCCGCTGCTGTAGACCGATCAAGGTGCCGTAGACTCATCCCGGTGCCGTAGACTCATCCCGGTGCCGTAGACTCATCCCGGTGCCGCCGTAGAGACCCGTAGACTCATCCCGGTGCCGTAGACTCCCGGTGCCGTAGACTCCCCGGTGCCGTAGACTCTTCCCGGTGCCGTAGACTCTTCCCGGTGCCGTAGACTCTTCCCGGTGCCGTATCCCCGGCCAGTGCCGTAGACTCATCCCGGTGCCGTAGACTCATCCCGCTGCTGTAGACCCATCCCGGTGCCGTAGACTGGACTGGAGTCAGGTTTATATAAAGCCAAGCCATAACGATTTCATGGTTTAGGACAGAGTGGGGGAGGAGCAGATCCCCTCACTGGTAAAATATCATCAGGACAGGAAGTGAGGGGAAAGCTCTTTCTCTATAAATGGTTGATACATGAAGTGAGGGTGTCCCCACACTGGGGATGAATGAACAGAACCGTGCCAGAGTCTGCATGTTCCCCCTCACCACTCCCCCCCCCAGTCTGCGCTTTAGTTAATGGTCCCCATTGTGTCCTATAGTGGTTGTAAACCTCAGACATGAAATAGGAACAAAGCATGTCTCTCTAAAGTGTGTATTTGTCTCAGTAAAGAACACTAAGGCTCATTTCTGTCTGCTGCCTCCTTCCTCTACTATCTGCATGAGTCACTTCTGACACGTTTTCATGACACCAAAGGTGACAGGGGAGGGAGCTCCAACACATGTCATTTGATTAGCTGTGGCCAAACCACAGCGAAGCACAAAAAAAAAAAAACCCTGAATGAATTGATGTCATTCAGGTAAATGATTGCTTATAGCAAAGTAATTCTTTGCTATAAGCAAATTGTGTAAAAAAAAAAAATAATAAAAATACTGATCACTTCCCCAAAGTAGTACAATGTTACTATGGTAACACTGTACTACTTTGGTCATAGTGAAATATATGAAAAAAAAATCTTAAAAAAAAAGAAAAAAAATGTAATAAAAAATTAAAAAATAATAAAAAAAAAAAAAAAAAAAAATGTTCTCATACTGTCACCAGTGTCCATGATCACCGCCATGCCAGTTCTATGATGACGCTGTACTGCACTGGTGACAGTATGTAAAAAAAAAATAGTGAAAATAATTTTTTGCATTTTTTTCATTTTCCGAAAAATTATGACAAAAAAAATACAACTTCAAAAACCTCTCCATGCCTGTTATGAAATACATTGGACTGTCTACTCTGCAAAAAGGGGTCATTTGGGGGATATCTGTCCCGTCCTGACATTTGGGGGGATATCTGTCCCGTCCTGACATTTGGGGGGATATCCGTCCCGTCCTGACATTTGGGGGATATCCGTACCGTCCTGACATTTGGGGGATATCTGTCCCGTCCTGACATTTGGGGGGATATCTGTCCCGTCCTGACATTTGGGGGGGGATATCTGTCCCGTCCTGACATTTGGGGGATATCTGTCCCGTCCTGACATTTGGGGGATATCTGTCCCGTCCTGACATTTGGGGGATATCTGTACTGTCCTGACATTTATGGATATCTGTCCTGTCCTGACATTTGGGGGATATCTGTCCCGTCCTGACATTTGGGGGATATCTGTACCGTCCTGACATTTGGGGGATATCTGTACTGTCCTGACATTTGGGGGATATCTGTACCGTCCTGACATTTGGGGGATATCTGTCCCGTCCTGACATTTGGGGGATATCTGTCCCGTCCTGACATTTGGGGGATATCTGTCCCGTCCTGACATTTGGGGGATATCTGTACTGTCCTGACATTTATGGATATCTGTCCTGTCCTGACATTTGGGGGATATCTGTCCCGTCCTGACATTTGGGGGATATCTGTCCTGTCCTGACATTTGGGGGATATCTGTCCTGTCCTGACATTTGGGGGATATCTGTACTGTTCTGACATTTGGGGGATATCTGTACTGTCCTGACATTTGGGGGATATCTGTACCGTCCTGACATTTATGGATATCTGTACTGTTCTGACATTTGGGGGATATCTGTACTGTTCTGACATTTGGGGGATATCTGTACTGTTCTGACATTTGGGGGATATCTGTACTGTCCTGACATTCTTGGACCTCAAGAAATTAGATTGGCTGTCAGTACTTCAGGATTGATCAATATTCAGATCTATACCATAGTTTGTGAACTCTATAACTTTCCTACAAACTAAAAAATACATCCTAATTTGGGTTATTTTTTTATAACAGATACAAAGAAAAACGTGTTTTTTTTTCAAACTTTGCTAAATTATCAAAAAAATACCGAAAACAATAAAAACCCCAGCGGTGATTAAATATCACCAAAAGAAAGCTCTAGTTGTGTGAAGAAAATGATAAAATATTAGTTTGGGTACAATGTTGTACGACCGCGCAATTGTCATTCAAAGTGTGAGAGCGCTGAAACCTGAAAACTAGCCTGGGCAGGAAGGTGTAAAATTGCCCGGTATTGAAATGGTTAATCCAATGGTGCCGACAATGATTTCAAAAATCGGTCGTTTTTCACGAATTTTCCAGCATGCCCAATAAACAAAATGGGGAAAAAACCACGCCACTGCCCCTCTAACGGAGCGAAAATCGGCCGATTATTCTTAGGTCCGATTTGTTTGTATAAAAAAATCATTAGAAAATCGACCTGTGTATGGCCGGCCTTAGGACCCGCAGATATATTCGTGCCAACACAACTACACCCATTAGTAAATTCCACGCACACATTAAAAGGCACGGGATTTATTTTAGGATCCTCATTTTAAACTTTCCTCTAAATGAACGAGGGGCGATGCGGATTTAACGTGCCTCCTGTATACAAATTTTGTGCGTCTCGGTTTTATGCGGTTTTTGCCGGCGCGCACGACTTTGAGCCGAGCTATATTTGTTATTTATGAACGCGGCGCGCTTTCATCTTTTATCTTTAATGGAAACTTTCGAGATTATATTGTGTCTGTGTGCACTAAAAATAATTTCAGCGCGTTTTTTAATTGGGAAAATATTTTTCGTCAACATTTGCGCGGGTTTTGTTCGGCACGCTCACGTTAAATCAAGAATACTATCTTCATTGTAGTTATTTATTTACTCTTTAGGAAGTATACAGATCAAGAATGTCTTCAGGGAATCTAGGAGCCATCTAAAAAAAGTAGGAGCCGGTTTAGGCGTAGTGTGGGTTGTCAGCGCCCGGGGCAAGGCAACATTTGGGCGACAAGCTTCATACGATGCGATTTTCGGCGCCCCAATCACAGCAAAACTGCACCACATTTTGGGTGCAGTTGAACATAATGGTACCTGAACCTGCGTTTTGCGAACACGATCCCAAAACGCCCGGGTGTGAATGGAGCCGCCCTGCTTCACACACATACGATTCTGGATGCGTTTTCAAACTCACAGATTCGCATGACAGTCTAGATATTACGTGTTCCTATTGAGGTGGTTCACACAGATGAAATCCACACGCATTGCGTTTTGAGTGCTATTACGAAAAGGGTCCTGTGCGGGTTTGTAGCCATGCATTCCAGACTTGCAAGTGTTAGAGAAGAGTGGCATGTGTAGATAAGTGTTCACATAGGCGCTTTTGCATTGAAGTCGACGGGAGGCGCTTTCGCATTGACGTCAACGGGAGGTGCTTTCGCATTGACGTCAACGGGAGGTGCTTTCGCATTGACGTCAACGGGAGGTGCTTTCGCATTGACGTCAACGGGAGAAGCTTTCGCATTGACGTCAACGGGAGGCGCTTTCGCATTGACGTCAACGGGAGGCGCTTTCGCATTGAAGTCAACGGGAGGCGTTTTCGCATTGAAGTCAACGGGAGGCGCATTGACGTCAACGGGAGGCGCTTATGCATTAACGTCAACGGGAGGCGCTTTCGCATTGACGTCAACGGGAGGGCTTATGCATTGACGTCAACGGGAGGAGCTTATGCATTGACGTCAACGGGAGGCGCTTTCGCATTGACGTCAACGGGAGGAGCTTATGCATTGACGTCAACGGGAGGCGCTTATCGCATTGACGTCAACGGGAGGCGCTTTCGCATTGACGTCAACGGGAGGCGCTTTCGCATTGACGTCAACGGGAGGCGCTTTCGCATTGACGTCAACGGGAGGCGCTTTCGCATTGACGTCAACGGGAGGCGCTTTCGCATTGACGTCAACGGGAGGCGCTTTCGCATTGACGTCAACGGGAGGCGCTTTCGCATTGACGTCAACGGGAGGCGCTTTCGCATTGACGTCAACGGGAGGCGCTTTTGCATTGAAGTCAGCGGGAGGCGCTTTTGCATTGACGTCAATGGGAGGTGCTTTCGCATTGAAGTCAACGGGAGGCGCTTTCGCATTGAAGTCAACGGGAGGCGCTTTCGCATTGACGTCAATGGGAGGTGCTTTCGCATTGAAGTCAACGGGAGGCGCTTTTGCATTGACGTCAATGGGAGGCGCTTTTGCATTGATGTCAACGGGAGGCTCAAGAAGAAGCACATTAAGGTTCTGGAGTGGCCTAGCCAGTCTCCAGACCTTAATCCGATTGAAAATCTGTGAATGGAGCTGAACGTTCGAGTTGCCAAACTTCAAAATCCCTCCTGAGATGTGTGCAAACCTGGGGGCCGACTACAGGAAACCTCTGACCTCTGTGATTGCCAACAAGGGATTTGCCACCAAGTACTAAGCCATGTTTTGTGAAGGGGATCAAATCCTTGAACATGCAGATCAGTCATCATTTGTTAGACACATTTCTGCTGAATTTGTTGTTGCTATTCTGCCTCTCAGTGTTACAATACACCGAACATTCGATTTGTAGACCGATCATTTCTTTGTGAGGGGCAAACATTCAACATCAGCAGGGGAGCAAATACGCATTTCCTTCACTGTACATACACACACACATACATACATATATACACAAACACACATTATACATATATACACACACTTACATATATATGGGGCAGCACAGTGGCTAAATGGTTAGCACTTCCTCCCGGCAGTACTAGGGCCGTTGGTTCGTATCCAAACCACGGCACCACCTGCCTGGAGTTTGCATGTTCTCCCTGTGCCTGCGTGGGTTTCCTCCGGGTACTCCGGTTTCCTCACACACTCCAAAGACATGCTGGTAGATGAATTGACTCCTGTCTAAATTGGCCCTCATAGGTGTATGTATGAATGTGAGTTAGGGACCTTAGATTGTATGCCCCTTGAGGGTTAGGGACCTTAGATTGTACACCCCTTGAGGGTTAGGGACTGATGGGAATGTACAATATATATGTAAAGTGCTGCGTAAACTGACAGCGCTATATAAGTACCTGTAATAAATATATACACACAAACACACATACACACACACATATACATACACATATACACACACACCCATATACATATATACACACACACATACAGTCAGGTCCATAAATATTGGGACATCGACACAATTCAAAAATTCAAAAAATCCACAATGGATTTGAAATGAAACAAACAAGATTTGCTTTAACTGCAGACTGTCGGCTTTAATTTGAGGGTATTTACATCCAAATCAGGTGAACGGTGTAGGAATTACAACAGTTTGCATATGTGCCTCCCACTTGTTAAGGGACCAAAAATAATGGGACAGAATAATAATCATAAATCAAACTTTCACTTTTTAATACTTGGTTGCAAATCCTTTGCAGTCAATTACAGCCTGAAGTCTGGAACGCATAGACATCCCCAGACGCTGGGTTTCATCCCTGGTGATGCTCTGCCAGGCCTCTACTGCAACTGTCTTCAGTTCCTGCTTGTTCTTGGGGCATTTTCCCTTCAGTTTTGTCTTCAGCAAGTGAAATGCTCAATCGGATTCAGGTCAGGTGATTGACTTGGCCATTGCAGAACATTCCACTTCTTTCCCTTAAAAACTCTTTGGTTGCTTTTGCAGTCTGCTTTGGGTCATTGTCCATCTGCACTGTGAAGCGTCCAATGAGTTCTGAAGCATTTGGCTGAATATGAGCAGATAATATTCCCGAAACACTTCAGAATCCATCCGGCTGCTTCTGTCAGCAGTCACATCATCAATAAATACAAGAGAAGCAGTTCCATTGGCAGCCATACATGCCCACGCCATGACACTACCACCACCATGCTTCACTGATGAGGTGGTATGCTTAGGATCATGAGCAGTTCCTTTCCTTCTCCATACTCTTCTCTTCCCATCACTCTGGTACAAGTTGATGTCGGTCTCATCTGTCCATAGGATGTTGTTCCAGAACTGTGAAGGCTTTTTTAGATGTCGTTTGGCAAACTCTAATCTGGCCTTCCTGTTTTTGAGGCTCACCAATGGTTTCCATCTTGTGGTGAACCCTCTGTATTCACTCTGGTGAAGTCTTCTCTTGATTGTTGACTTTGACACACATACACCTACCTCCTGGAGAGTGTTCTTGATCTGGCCAACTGTTGTGAAGGATGTTTTCTTCACCAGGGAAAGAATTCTTCCGTCATCCACCACAGTTGTTTTCCGTGGTCTTCCGGGTCTTTTGGTGTTTCTGGGCTCACCGATGCGTTCCTTCTTTTTAAGAATGTTCCAAACAGTTGTTTTGGCCACGCCTAATGTTTTTGCTATCTCTCTGATGGGTTTGTTTTGTTTTTTCAGCCTAATGATGGCTTCACTGATAGTGACAGCTCTTCGGATCTCATCTTGAGAGTTGACAGCAACAGATTCCAAATGCAAATAGCACACTTGAAATGAACTCTGGACCTTTTATCTGCTCATTGTAATTGGGATAATGAGGGAATAACACACACCTGGCCATGGAACAGCTGAGAAGCCAATTGTCCCATTACTTTTGGTCCCTTAACAAGTGGGAGGCACATATGCAAACTGTTGTAATTCCTACACCGTTCACCTGATTTGGATGTAAATACCCTCAAATTAAAGCTGACAGTCTGCAGTTAAAGCACATCTTGTTCGTTTCATTTCAAATCCATTGTGGTGGTGTATAGAGCCAAAAATGTTAGAATTGTGTCGATGTGTCCCAATATTTATGGACCTGACTGTATATACACACACATACACAGACAAATGTTTTGCCTTGCATTTTTTTTAAACTGAAGTGAAAGGGTTCACATTTAACCATTAACCACTCTTGCCAAAATGATAAACAGAAAAAATGAACAAAAATGTAAAAGTTGTACTTAAAATACACTTCAAATCTGCCTTCCATAGCACAAAAAAATGATTTTTCTGAGCATGTACTAAGCCCAGAGATTGCAGTCCAGACATCATAAAAAAGAGAGAATCTAGAAGTGATCCTAACATTAAAGATGACATCAGGCCTCAGGTGAAGACACCGATATCTACACCAAATAGCAGCAATTCATATATGTGAATTCCACTGACAGATCTTCTGATGCGTGTTTAAATAAAATATAATTAAAATGAGGCGGATTAAAGATTCATGAACACAAAAGGTTTCTCTGGCTAGCGGCACAAGGTCCTCCATTACAAATAATCTGCGCTGAAGAATTAGGACTTTATTTTTTGTATATTTCAAGTGTTTCGGTTGCATTTGGTGGATGTTATTATCAACTTTTGAAAGAATAAGTTTCTTGTTTACATGTGAAAATATTATACTAATAATTCATATCTACCAACTGTCACCAGCAGGTGGGCAAGGCTCATGAGAAAAGTTCCAATGATTACGGCTTAGTCTGCCGGCGATCTCTGGTCTAAACAAAGTATACAATGCTACTCGTTCCTCAATCAACCGGCGAGGCTGGGAGCCGGTCAGTGAATACATCACAAAGTTATCTGAAGGTGAAAGCTTTTTTATTGTTTTTTTCTTTTTTTACAGTGGAGAAGGGTCAGCAACTTGTCAATTGCAGCCATGTGACAAGGAGACTGCAACCCCGCCGTACGCCAATGTGAATGAAGAGCTGAGGAAAGTCCTAGGCTCCTCCTCAGGTCTGATGTGATATAACACAATGAGGGCGACTTCAGCTTAGGAGCTGTTTGTATTGGAAAGGGGATATTTTTGCTTGTGAAAGGAGATATATGTTACACACTACTGACCTCTGCACTTTGCATTACATACTACTGAGCCTCTGCACTTTGCATTACATACTACTGAGCCCTGCACTTTGCATTACATACTACTGAGCCCTGCACTTTGCATGAGCCCTGCACTTTGCATGACATACCACTGACCCCTGCACTTTACATTACATGCTACTGATCCCTGCACTGTGCATCACATACTACTGACCCCTGCACTTTGCATTACATGTTACTGATCCCTGCACTATGCATTACATACCACTGACCCCTGCACTATGCATTACATACTACTGACCCCTGCACTGTGCATTACAATACTACGGACCTCTGTGCCATGGATTACATAATACTGACCTCTCAACTATACATTACGCACTATTGGCCCTGCATGGTGCATTACACTGCACTACTTACAACGCACCCCTGCACTCTGCGTTACTAAATTCTACCACCTGCACTCTGCATTGCATACTACTGACCTCTCAACTATGCTTTACTTACTACTAACCCCTGCACTCTGCATTACATAGAAGTCTGAATTCTGCACTGCTTACCATTCACCCCTGCACTCTGCATTACATTCTTCTGACCTCTGAACTCTGCATTTCAATTGACCCCTGCACCTCGTGTTACTTACCATTGGCCCACTCTGCATTCTTACACCTGACCCCCACAACTCTCATTACTTACTGACCCCTGCACAGTGTATTACTACTTACATCTGCACCTTGCATTACTTACTACTGACCCTTGCAATCAGCCTTACTGTCTACTGACCCTCAACTACATACCCCCTTGTAATCAGCCTGTCTACTGACCCATCAACTATGCCATACATACTACTGACCCTTGTAATCAGCCTGTCTACTGACCCCTCAACTATGCCATACATACTACTGACCCTCAATCAGCCTACTGACCCCTACTATGCCGTACATCCTACTGACCTCTAATGTTACATACTCCTGACTCCTGACCCCTGCACTTTAAAATTACATACTCCTGACCCCTGCACTTAGTGACCCTACTTTGGTTGTTTTGCTGTGCTTAACCCCATTGGTGAGAGTCATTCCTCCACGTGTCCTGGTGACCTGACCGTTACCAAGAAACAAAGCGATGAAAAATCCAGAGTTTTTGAGTTGTTACCAGAACAAGGGAAGAAGCCGGCGGGAGTGGAGGGTCGGACAAGTAAAAGCTCTACACCCAGATCCCCCGGACATGACCGAACCGATAACGCTTGTAGCGCAGGCACCGCCCCCACCGCAAGGCGGGACTTTTACTTTTCCCAGACGTTCATCTTTCAGCAAAACGAGAGAAATGTTTGTATTGGTGACATCACACTTACCAGTGCTGGATTTTGTCCTGGCAGCCGCTGACCACCTGTCATAAAAAACAGAGAGGGGTTCGTGAGACATCACTACAGACTATGGCGGGGTGTCAGGTACAAGTTCACAAGAAGTTTAAGTTGCAGCCAAACATTTTTTTTTGTCACTAGAAAGGCGATAAAAACACTTATTTTCAACCATAGAAGACTTTAGGATCGATTTACTAAAACTGGAGAGTGCAAAATCTGGTGCAAATCTGCATAGAGACCAATCAGCTTCCAGCTTTTAGTGCCCGGTCACAGCTGTGCGATTTGCGAATTGAAATCTAATGAATGTGAATGTCAGCGTCCTAACATGTTCGATTTGCCGCAGCGCGATTTCTAAATTGGCTCTTGCATTACTTTTCTGCAATTTTGTTGCGATTTCACATTCATAGAATATTAAAGGAAATCGCACTGAAAATCGCAAGAAATCGTTAAAAATCTTTGCAAGTAACAAAACCTTCAGTAATTGCAAAATCGCGATCAAATCGCACACAAATCAAAGCGGTGTGATTGGTGACTTAGCTCATGTTCACACTGATGCAGAGCGGTAAATCCCATGAGATTCGCACAGGAACCGCACTGCATTCCTGTGCCAATCACATGCGGTTTCTATGCGGTGCGATTGGAGCCGTACATTTTGTATGGCTCTATTCGCACCGCACCCAAAACGCGCAAGACCCTTTTTTTTTTTGGTCCGCACTATAATTCGGATCGCATGGGTTATTCACACCTATGCGATCCGATTCTGCGCATTGCACTGTGTTTTGCGGATCAATTTTGGGGTGTGGTTAACTTAACATACACACCCGCATCGGTTCGCATGGACGGGGTGCGATTTTGAATTTGCATTGAAAACGCTGAGAATTCCGCACCGCGTCAGTGTGAACCAAGACACAATGTGAGCGGCGCTTGATTAAACAAGCTGAAGTTAGAAGCTGATTGGCTGCCGTGCACAACTGCTCCAGATTCTGAGTGCTCCAGTTTTAGTAAATCTCCCTCTTTAGCGCACAACAAAGCCACTCCCATTCCAGACTGACAGCCTCTGTACCCGAAATCGCTCCTCTCTGTAATGGAGGACACCTTTAGAAGCACCAAAAACAGAAACACAACAATTTCAGATCTATTAACCACTTCTTACCTGTTAACCTTTCCTCTGCAGCTAGCATCTGCTTAACCAATTCCGTCCGGCCCATGTATAGAAACGGCGCCCAAATTTTCAGCCTGTGCGCACTCCCTGGGAGCGCGTGGCACCACGATCGCTGTACGGGACCCTCTGTGCGAGGTCCCGATCATGTGATCACTGATTGGCCAATCAGTGATCACATGAATAGTAGTAAGCAAGATGTCACTTCTGACATCATTGCTTACTACGTGTGAAATCTGTGAATGATCACAGAGATCACATGGTACAGGGCCATTCACAACAGCCTTGTACCATGTGACAAGCTGTGACCAATCACAGCTCACACAGTAGTTCTCAATGGCTGCAAGAATGCAGCCAGAGAGGAGAAATGATTGCTTTTACAGCTTTTATGGGTGTAAAAGCAATCGGTGTTAAAAAAAAAAAAAAAAAAATCTTCATCACCCCCCACAAGTAGTACAGTGTCACTATGTACAGCTAGGGTAACCGTATGTAAAAAAAAAAAAATGTAAAAAAACTAAATAAAAATGTAAAAAAAAATAGAAAAATATTAATATATAATAACTGAATACATTTTGGCCAAGATTTATGAAGAGAGTATTTATTTGCAAAATTTTATAAGAAAAACACTTGTTTTTCCAAATTTTTGGATTTTTTTATATAGCAAAAAAATAAAAATCCCAGCGGTGAATAAATACCACCAAAATAAAGCTGTATCTGTCTCAAAAAAATGCTAAAAAATTCATATGGGTACAGTGTTGCATGACCGCACAATTGTCATTCAAAGTGTGATAGCGATGAAAAGCTGAAAATTGTCCTGGACTGGAAGGGGGGGGAAAGGTCCGGACTGGGGGGGGAAAGTGTCCGGACTGGAAGGGGATGGGGGAAAGTGTCCGGACTGGAAGGGGGTGGGGGAAAGTGTCCGGACTGGAAGGGGGTGGGGGAAAGTGTCCAGACTGGAAGGGGGTGGGGGGGGGAAAGTGTCCGGACTGGAAAGGGGTGGGGGAAAGTGTCCGGACTGGAAGGGGGTGGGGGAAAAGTGTCCGGACTGGAAGGGGGTGGGGGAAAGTGTCCGGACTGGAAGGGGGTGGGGGAAAGTGTCCGGACTGGAAGGGGCTGGGGAAAGTGTCCGGACTGGAAGGGGGCTGGGGGAAAGTGTCCGGTACTGGAAGGGGCTGGGGGAAAGTGTCCGGACTGGAAGGGGGTGGGTGAAAGTGTCCGGACTGGAAGGGGGTGGGGGAAAGTGTCCGGACTGGAAGGGGCGTGGGGGAGTGTCCGGACTGGAAGGGGGTGGGGGGAAGTGTCCCGGACTGGAAGGGGGTGGGGGAAAGTGTCCTGGACTGGAAGGGGCTGGGGAAAGTGTCCGGACTGGGGGAAAAGTGAAGGGGGGGTGGGGAAAGTGTCCGGACGGACAGGGGGGGGGGGGGAAAGTGTACCGGACTGGAAGGGGTGGGGGAAGGGAAAGTGTCCTTTACAAGGGCTTGGGGAAAGTGTCCGGACTGGAAGGGGGGTGGTGGGGAAAGTGTCCGGACTGGAAGGGGGTGGGGGAAAGTGTCCGGACAAGAAGGGGGGGGGTGGGGGACGAAAGTGTCCGGACTGGAAGGGGGTGGGGGAAAGTGTCCGGACTGGAAGGGGGTGGGGGGAAAGTGTCCGGACTGGAAGGGGGGTGGGGGAAGTGTCCGGACTGGAAGGGGGTGGGGGAAAGTAAACACAAAAAAGGGGGTGTGGGGGAAAGTGTTACCGGGCACTGGAAGGGGGTGTGGGGAAAAGTGTCCGGACTTGAAAGGCGGGGGGGTGGTAAAGTGTCACTGGGAAGGGGGGGGGGGGGGAAGTGTCGGCACTGGAAGGGGGGGAAACTCCCGGACTGGAAGGGGGGGTAAAAGTATGTCCCGGACTGGAAAGGGGCGGGAAAGGTCCGGACTGGAGGGGGGGAAAGTGTCCGGACTGGAAGGGGGGGGAAAGTGTCCGGACTGGAAGGGGGGGGAAAGTGTCCGGACTGGAAGGGGGGGAAAGTGTCCGGGACTGGAAGTGGAGAAAGTTGTCCGGACTGGAAGGGGGGGGAAAAAGTGGGGAACTGGAAGGGGGGGGAAAGTGGTCCGGACTGGAAGGGGGGGGAAAGTGTCCGGACTGGAAGGGGGGGAAATGTGTCCGGACTGGAAGGGGGGGGGAGGAAGTGTCCGGACTGGAAGGGGGGGGAAAGTGTCCTGGAAAGGGGAGGGAGGGAGTGTGTCCGGACTGGAAGGGGGGGTTGAAAGTGTCCGGACTGGAAGGGGGTGAAAGTGTCCGGACTGGAAGGGGGTGAAAAGTGTCCAGACTGGAAGGGGGGGAAAAGTGTCCGGACTGGAAGGGGGGGGGGAAGTGTCCAGACTGGAAGGGGCGGGAAAAGTGTGATCCGGACTGGAAGGGGGGGAAAGTGTCCGGACTGGAAGGGGGAAAGTGTCCGGACTGGAACGAAGGGGGGGGGGGGTGAAGTGTCCGGACTGGAAGGGGGTGGGGGAAAGTGTCCGGACTGGAAAGGGGTGGGGGAAAGTGTCCGGACTGGAAGGGGGGGGAAGTGTCCGGACATGAAGGGGTTAAACCAGCGACAAAAAATCCTTTGATATACCGCCACACCGTTTTTTCCAGACATTATTTCTTTACACGGCTTTTGAAACTGCCTCCTGACACACGCCTGGAACCCGAAATGTCAGCTGTGCCCGATACACAAGAAGTACGAATCCCCGCGGGCTGCCGGACTTCGAGGAAAACTACAATAGTGTCTCTTCAGTCTTACCTAAAGCTTGGGTATCTAAACACAAAAAGCAAACATTTTCTTACCATTGCAGCTTGCCAAATGTTAGGTGTGGTGTCTGCATTAGTTTTTCTTTTTGAGGCTTTTTTTCTATTTTCATCTGGTGATTCAGCCAGTAAATCTGTTTTTCGCAACACAAACTCTCCAGCAGAATGTATCAGTTTACATGGATCAGACAAGCCACTTAACGTGTTAGAAAAGTAAACCCACAGCAGAACCAATCAGTCTGTAGATGCAGTAAAGCATGCTGGTTATACTCACTGTGGAACCTAAGGGGTTAATCCTATGCATTGTGTAAACAGGATGTATTGATCCTGTCTTTTCTGATCCTCCCAACCTTCTTCTTACTGTCCCCATCTATCTGCTGATAGTACAAGCCTTGGGGGCAAGCTGCACATGCTCAGTTTGGTGTGTATTGCTAGAGTTTTCTTTTCTTTGGGGAGAGTGCATGTGATCAGCACAGAGACAATCAGCGCAGTTCCAGACAGAGGGTCAGAGGGGTTTTTAGGAATGCAACAGCCTCATAGGAATGAAGACTCCTCCTACAAGCTTTAAAAGCCAGTGCTCTGCTGGACACTGACAGAAGTCACAAGACTGCTATATAACTGCTTATGAGAAAAGGGATTTAGCAGTTTATAATTACTGGAATAATTGCATTTCATGTTTGTGTGTACTGTGGGAGACCAGATTATAGTGAAATGCAGGTTTCGGGGAGACCGGATATAGTGAATGCAGGGTCCGGGGAGAGCAGATATAGTGAATGCAGGGTCCTGGGAGACCGGATATAGTGAATGCAGGGTTACGGGGAGAGACCGGATATAGTGAATGCAGGGTACGGGGAGACCGGATATAGTGAATGCGGGGTCCGGGGAAAGCAGATATAGTGAATGCGGGGTCCGGGGAAAGCAGATATAGTGAATGCGGGGTCCGGGGACAGCAGATATAGTGAATGCGGGGTCCGGGGAGAGCGGATATAGTGAATGCAGGGTCCGGGGAGAGCGGATATAGTGAATGCAGGGTTCGGGGAGACCGGATATAGTGAATGCGGGGTCCGGGGAGACCTGGATATAGTGAATGCA